CCTAATCTCAAAACTGGATCAGTCAATTCAACCGACCTCGTAACCACCAAAAAAACCCGAAAGAAACCTAAATTAACCTTCTTTTCTTTCTAGTATGACTTCAGATTGTAACCTGAAACTACATTTGTTTATCCTAAGTGACTCTAAGTTCCTAACATTATACAATTATTTATAATTAAATTTTATTGTTTTATTGCCCATTGAACTGTGTCTAACTGCTCTCTGTGCCATTATAAATTGTCAATCACTCGGGAAATGTGCAGCTCACGTTACGCAATCGAATTACATTACCAATAAGCTGCTCGCGTGCTTGTTTTGTGAACAATTTTAATTATATTATTATTACTTATTTTACCTATTCTAGTCTTAAATAACTGAAAAAGATCTATACTTTTAATTTTAGTTACTTTTATAATAATAAATAAAGAATAAATATGAAAAACAAGAAATAAAGTGCTTACCCAATATTAGTTTTTCTTGCCCTCAGTTGTCGAGTAGAGTTAAGCCAGATTTTTTTTTAGCGATTATGGTAAAGCACTTAAAAGTATTATTTACTAAATAATACATCAAAGAATATAGACTAATAATATGCAAGAAGTAGGCAAATTCACTTACTTCTAAAAATGTTCCTGGCTTTCTAACTATGCAACAAAAGCCATTACAAATTCATCTAAGCTAGTCATTAACTTTCCCATGGGAACAAAATTGCTACTCTGAGTGACATTGACGGTTATCTGTTCAAAACACAATGTTATACAAAACGCCATTTGATAGATGAAAACCTTGACTTTCTATCGGTTATAAATAATATATAATGAAACATAAGAGAGAACTATCAACCAATTGTGAAAGGGAGGATGTGACAGGTGGGTGTGGCAGGAGTGGTCTGATTTTCTATTTGATAGCTCTGTAACAAAACAAAATTGAAGGCCATAAAAATTATCATAGAAAGCATTTTACGTTTAATTTTCGAGGGGTGATGGATAAAATAGGGATGATGACATGCTAAGACAAAATTTGTCATGTGTGTTACACTAGTGGAAATTCAGGATTTTTTTAATATATTTCCTTTTAGAATTAAGAACTTAAAACTTATTTACTAATAAAATATAGATTATTAGCTAAGATTTTATGCTCTTCTAATTGGTATAACATAAACAAAAAGTAGTTTAATAAACTTTTGAATGTAAGACACTAAAACCTTGTGTCATGCTCAGTAAAAGGTACCCATGCCAAAAGGGTTAATGGACAAATCTTTATTTTATTATATGATTTTTTTGTATGAACTAAAAGACTGCCAAATTTTGTAAAGACATACACACTATATTGAAAGTTAGAAGTATTAAATCTATAAAGACTTTAATCGAGTACAAAGAGGTTACGTGGTTGGTAAAATTGAGAGTTAAAATATTTTCAGAATTTTCATGGTATTTCTGAAGTAGGAATATAATAGAGAAGTGGATGTAAAATTGGAGTATCACATGTCAATACAATAGGATGCAAGTAGATGTCTTCTTTGTATTCTTTTATTGCCATAAAATGCTGCAACATGTGAGTATCGTGGAATAATTTGGAAGATTTGGGGTTTAAGTTTGTTAGTTGCAATGTTATTGGTGCCTTAAGGAATAGTTTTTCTACTCAATAATTTTCTTTAATTGTGAGTAACCACATATATTGTATGATAAGATAAATTTCCTTATAGGTCAGCTAGGTATTGCAAAATGTAGGTAAATTGTTCAATCGTGGTTGTTTTTGAATGATGTGTATGCAGATAATCAAAGCAAAAACTTCTAACTGCACTACATAGTGTTGATAATACTAACTACTAAAAATACCATACATATGGTGATGACAAGTGTATGTTTAATAACATTTCTGTAACTGTTAGTTTATGAATTTCTCAATAGAACTATATGAAAATTGTTTATCATTTTATTAGTAAAAAATTAATATTTTTATAATTTTAGTTGCTTTCATAAAGTGATTTGAAATGTTTTTTGTATATTTTTGGAACTACTTGAGAAATAAACAAATGAGCATTGTATTGTGGAAATATCAATATCAATCTCATATTTTTTTTGTTAAAAAGTCAGATTAGTTAAGCACTTTGACCTGGGTTTTTTATACTTAACAGCTTGTAACACTTTAAGGAACACTTAATCAAGAGAATGAAATGTTTAAAATTATTTGCTTTTACATTTTAAAGCAAATAAAAAAAAATTACTCTTCAATAATTCACATCACATGCAAAAAATCAACAGTGTGTAAGTGCTCATGTAGTTTTAAACAATATGGTTTATGTGTTGAACATTGGAAAAAATGACAATAAATTATACTGGTGGATTACTGCTGGTATCGTTTGTGAATTTTGCATAGAAAATGAGTAATTTCTTGACACTTATTTTCATATTAATATTAAATATTGTAACAAACATAAACATAAAATTACTCTATGTGGATTCCACCACTAGTGATTTGAGGGTTAGACAGTTAGTTCTTAAACATAACATTAAAATCACTAAAAACAGAATTTGCATAAATCTAAGATTATTCATATTGTTCATTGAAACCATTTTTGAAAAGTGTTTACCAACATTGTGTTGTAAATTTATCCAAAAAGCATTCACACATTTTATAATTTATATTTTGTATTTAGCATATTTATGTAAGTAAAATAAACTTCAAGATAACTAATTTCAAATAATTGATACACAACTCAATGTAATAAATAAATTCTGCCTTTAAATTTCAGCCCTGCTTTAACTGCAGCTCTCCATGAATTAGCTAGACGAATCCCACAACTGAAGAAAGACATTCAAGATGGTTTGTTGAAAATGCTTTGTAATGTTTTAATCAAACAGCCACAACGAAGCCAAACTGCAACTAAAATCCCAACTTCAACCTCACTTTCAGGTATGAACAAACCTTTGGATATATGTATGTTACAAAGTCAAAGAAGATCAATTACTCATTCCATTTAGTATGTTTTATTTTACTTCTTCAAATTTTTGATTCAGAGTGAACAAATTGTTGCATATAAACTTTCTGTAAGTTAAAAGCAAAATACAAAGTTCTTGAAGAATGGGATCAACATGATGTTTTGTTTCTGAATATTTTTCATTGTTACCATTGTTATCAAAGGACATTTTTGGTTCCATGCAATATTTTCCTAGAATAATCTTTAACATGGCATAGTACCTACAAGACAGTGAAACAAAGTTAAGCAAAAGTACATTTTTACTCACTTTTTTAACAAGAAGTTGATACCAGAAACTATTTAATTGATATGATAATTTATTTTTAACGATGACAAACATTTTTAGTTTGACTCTAAAAGTAAGCAGTTTGAAATGTTATGGTATCTGAACTACTTAGGAATGCCTTCAAGAATATAAAACTATTTGTGGTCCACATGTTTGCAAAAATAGAACTCATGAGCTGTTGAATTAAATAATTTTGTTGTCAGTAAACTAGTGAAAAACGTTTCTTTCGGTAATGTTTTGAGTAATTTTTACAAATATATTAATCACATTAATTGTGCTTTCGAGCAACTTACCAATTCGATTTTATTTGAACCAACATAAACCTGTTATTAGTACATAAGTATGTTTGACATTATACATAAATTTTCTTTGTGCAAATGAATGGGTTGAGGGTAATTATAGGCCTTTATAACTAGACCTTGTATTACCTTTTTGAACTCTATCCTGGAGGACAAGCATAATGTTTGACATATTGATTGTTGTCAGAACTTAGTTTTGGAGGACAAGCTGGATGTTTGGTGAATTGATTGTTGTGAGTGATATATTAGTCTTGGAGGGCATGCTGAATATTTGATGAATTGATAGTAGTATGTGAAAACATACTTTGTAGTTGTAATAACTTCTACTTGAAGAGCTGCTAAAAGAGTACTCAAAAATGTAAGGTAAAATATTGAAATATAAAAACTAAATTTAAATTATCATTTTTTCTTTCTAGAATCACTACATTTTGTAACAGAGAATTACACACTATTTATTCTTACAGCCAAAGCTAATACTTTTCAAATATCTCAGTCATTTAGACTTAATGCTTTACAGCTGCACTTAAGAGTACTGCAAAAGCAGTTTGTCACAGCAGGATAGCTTTGTGTAAAGTTACCAGCACGTAGGTTCGAATTACAATCATGATGTGTACGTACTATCACAAGTATTTTTTCATTTAATTTTTGTTATCTAACCTAATAAGTTTTTAATTCTTTTGTTTTTTTGCACTCAGTGTCTGAACAGAAGTTAACCTTACTTTTTGATAATAAACTTTTTTCTTCAAAGGTACAGTTTAGAAGACAAAATATGCACAAAAAATACAATGTCCTATAATTATTATAATTTAATGTTTTTTTTTCTATGTCAGTTATAAGTGGGTTAAAATAATTTTGTTAGCGGATTGCTACGGTATTGGCAATAGCAAATGATGAAACAAATAATTAAAAAATTGCCTTCAAAGTGAGCTATCCTCATAGGGAACTAAATAAATTAATATATTTTCTCTATTGGTTACAAATACTCCAATAGCAAATGTCAGAGAGAATTGAAATTTTTCAACAAATGAGATAGGAGGGTATGGCATGCGAGTTTGATTTTCTGGTTTAAATCTCGCTAAAGCAAGAAAATTGGAGGTTATAAATTTACATTATGTATTAGCAATATCTATACTATAAGTGTGTAATTTATGCAGAAGTTCATATAATGGTAAAAAGAAAATTATGTTGGCCAACTCATAGTGAAAAAGTGTTGCATAGGGTTTGTAGTCGGTACTAGTTTATACTATATCATATGTTGAGAATAACATCTGTTATGATATGTTCTATCTTTGGAGTTTTGACCAAATGCCTCCTCTGGTATTTCAGCTTCACTTTTCACTGAATTATAAATGTTTGAAGAGGTAGTTTAGAGTTCATACTTCAGTCAATAAGTGAATCTTAACATCAAAATTTACAATAGCTTGAAATATGGAAAACTGGTGACTCCCATGCTCTGGAAGAGAGCATGAATGTGACTGATTGCACATTAGGTAGGTGCATGCGTGATTAACCCTTAGCATGTGGGCAGGTCAAACCGCGCACGTCACGATGTTTTAGTGAGTTACATTCAAAATTTAATTAAACTACCTAATTATCATGGTATACGAACAAACTTGACATCAAACCATAGGTAATAATCAAGTATTAATATTATACAAGTTTTAAGTTCTTAATTATATAAGGAAATATATCAAAACAACCTCAAATTCCCCTAGTTTGAGAATTTGGATAATTGTTCTTAAACTGTTTCCTCTCCTGGGTTATATTATCCATTCCCTAGAAAACTACAAAACTATTCTCTGTAATTTCGTCATCAATATTCTGAAGCTATATTTTTATATTATTTTATCTTATGGGGCTAAAGAGCAATCAATGAAAATTCAGAAACCACTTTCCATGCCTACCTATAACATGCTCTAATTTACAATTTGCTAATAGATTTTTCTGATGCTGACTTCTATTAAAACGAAATGGAAAGCCTGGATTTCAACTGATTTATTGTCATGGTTGTCATACCACGGGCTTATAGATAATTGAAAATTTGGTTTAATGTGAAAAATAAATTTTCCTACAAAAACACATGGGAAGAATAGTTGAGTTTCTAACTGTTCAAGTCACATGATTAGAGATGCTCGCATACCGGTATCGGTGGTACTATTGCAAACCCTGGTGTCACATGATACTGAGAAGTGAAAATTAACAATTTATTTAGATATTTCGGTTTTAAATTAAAAACTAAAACTTATATAATATTAAAATTTGAATTATAAACTATATTTATGTGCCAAATTTTCTGACATACGTTGATAACAAAGTAATTTAACTAAATTTTGAATGTAACTCTAAAACAACACGACATGCCCATTTTAACAAACTTGTGCATGTAGAGTTAACACTTTCACTACAGGCATAGCATTGATCATGAATAACATGACTATATTGTACAAATATTACACTAATTAAATCATTGCAACTGCCATATAAAAGCCTAATATTTACACAATATACATTTTTCCCACTATTTATAAATATTGGGGTGACATCTATGGGTCATTGGTATAATCAAATATCTGGGATTTTTTTGTGGTGGCAGGAAAAAACTAAAACATCATACAATGCGTGAGAGTAGTGAAAGGGTTAAAAGACGTTGTTTTCTCTAACATAATATTGACCACATATAAGTTTGACACTGTAGATATTCTTTTGTTTTCACATTTATAATTTTCATAGGGTGGTGTTACATTTAAATGTCTTAATATTAACACCTTATAATGCACATATAACATTTTGCTGTTTACCAATATTGTAATGTATTGTTTGTGCTTTTGTTAGGTTATTATATTGAAATTATTTATTTTTGTTGATTGTATCAGTCTCAAGTATTTTGTAAAAACTGCAACAAAGAGGTCCATAGCTTGCCAGAATTAAGTATTTAACATGAAATAGTATAAAGCCATCTGTTATAGTCTTATGTTATTAAAAAGTTTCAAGCATCTTTTCTTATACAAAGTCAAATCTCATGTTTTTATATTATTAAAAGAGGTTCTTTTTTTTTTAATTTTCTAATAAGAAAACTGATTGTTGTGATTATCCTCTTTACTTCTAGGATCTTTGATTAGTCCAACAGAGTCTACTGATGTTGCAAGTACTACCTTAGCTCTAAGAACACTTGGAAGTTTTGATTTTCAAGGTAAATAGAATACTTTCTTCTTTGTCATTTTTATTTCTATAACTTTTTGTAACTTTGAGTTTACCTTGAGAAAATTTCTTTTTTGTCTTTAACTCTATAAAAATGATGCCATTTTTAAACCCTGTTGTGCATGTTACTGAATTACATTCAAAATTTAATTAAGTCACCTTACTATAAATGCATTGTATTGAAATTGATATTATCAAGTACATTATAATCTAAAGTTTTATATTTTATAAGTTTTTATTTCTTTATTTCAAAATAATAAATAAAACTTTCAACAAGTATTGCGACTGTGGTTAAAAATTTCAAATTTGGAGCTACTTAAAAACAAGTGGGAAAATGTAGACTTGCCTTCCTTCAGACAGTTAAAGTAATATATGTAGAAGTTGTTAAAGATGTAATTTAAGACATTTGTGAAACTAAAGTCAGAGAATAGACCGTTGATAATTCCATTGTCAAAGATAAGCCACACCCACTTTCAAAATAGAAGTTTGGGTGCTAAGCGACTGTTTTAAGTTGAATGGCATGCTTATAATCAATAGAAAGAACATATTTTCAACTATTTAGCTAACTAGGCCAAGAGACATGAGCAGTATATGGGTTTGTATGTACGAGGTAGAAAAGAAGCTTAGTCCATTGTCAAGATTGGGGCCCCTAACATTTGGCTATAATTTCTCACCTTATACATATCAGATTGATAGACAGTTAAATTGCATTTAGGTTTTACTTTTATGTTTCAGTTAGTGATTTTTATAAGTTTACTGGATTACTTGTTCATTTCCTATCTCATCAAGATTTCTCAACAACGGATGTGAGTAAAATATTTTGTCCTCAGCTACGGGTCTTTCCACAATGGTACGTGATAATCTATCACATGCACTTTGTGACATTTGGTATAAATGATAAAAGACAAAAATTGGAGAGGAAAATAAAACATTAAAAATAAACTAAATAAAAAGATAAAAACATGAAATGATGCATATGAAAAGAATAATATATATAAGATTCAACAAAGAGATACAACGTATGTAGGTATTTACATGATTTTAAACATTTTTTTGCACTGTACATTGATGATAATAGCTAGAGTTAATGATATGGTAAAGAAAATGGAAAGTAAAATATATACATTTACACTTAGGAGGTTCTAGAGATTATGCAAATCAACTGTGAGATAATAAATAGTATTTTTATACTCAAAACAAAAATAACCTTGCATATTAACTATTCAGAGTCTGAGTGCAAATAATGACATTAAATAACAAATATTTTATTAGAATAGTAGAAAAAATCATAATTAAGTATTTTATTTTTCTGAAACTACATACTTTTAGGAACATTCATGTCAAATTTCATCCGTCATTTCATTTTTGTAAACAATTTTCACAAAGTTACATAACCTACTTACAAAACTAATAGGTCGTCTTCATACTGTTAAAATACCTCAATGCATTTTATGTCAAAATAAAGGATTTCAACTATTTTTTTAAAAGGACAGATAACACCTATCATATCTCAAGTGTGACAAGCTACAGCTTATTGAGTCAACAACCTGTTACAAATAGTAGCTACTTAAAATACTATCTTGATTTAAACGTGTTTTCTTACTTGTAGCTGAAACAAATGTTTTGTAATAATAATAATAAGGAATATCTTTTTAGTTGTATTGAACATCCTTGATTGAAACAGGATAATGAACATGTTCCCTGTCTGGTGTTTTACTCAATCTTGTAAAACATTTCCACATGAAAGATAAACTGAAGAAACATGGTTAAGTTCAGGTTCAAATTTACAGTACAACTTGGTCAAACTTTTATCAAACAAAAACATATTATGTTGTTAATGATGCACAGTAAATCAAAGAAATCCAGACACTGATCATAAAGTTTAGAAAGACTACTTAAAAAAAAGTTAAGAAGCACTTGTTTGAATTTAATACTATAATGAGAAATCATTATCAATATAAACCAACAAGAACTGGGTAGTATGTTACAGAAACTTGATCAGACACAATACTAATCTATCTGGTCACAGAATACAACCATTAAATCCATCACAATGTAAAGGAAAAAAATACAAAAAATAATTTGAAAATATATTTGACATTTTTGTTTTTTAATTATAATAACTAAAATAGCCATAAAAGGCAAAACTATCATTAATTATTTGTTTATGGGCTATGACATATGTATGAAGTTGGAAATCAATCTTTTGATTAGTTGCTGCAATGGAATTAAAGTTTAGTTAGCTTGGTGCAAGAAGTCTGTGTCATCAGTGGACACATTACACCATTATCTTTACCTCTCTGAAATTCACTGGTCTGAATTTTACAGTAAAGTATTCCATGTTACAGTAATATAAAAAGATTTGTATTCAGTACTAAACCACCAGGTCTAAACTTTCTGACAAAAATTCTATGGGCCAAAAGCATCCTAATTAATGGGTTAGACTGTGAATCTGAGGTTCCATGGTTTTCACTCCACTAAAGCCAAAAAAAAAGAAAAACATTGCACTCATTGCTTTTGAGCTATGGGTAAATTTTAAGAGTGACAGTCAAATACCACTATTCAGCTAGGGTAGCCCATGAATTTGGTTGGTGGGTTGTGTTGACCAGCTGCTTCTCTCTATTGTATCACTCCAAAGTTAGAGATGGCTATCACATGTTGCCCACAAGTAGATGTGCACAAAATTCAGCAAAAAAAAATAAATCTCATAAACTGGAGGTATATAAAAGAAATATTAGCAGTTAACATGGTTTTTATCACAAATGTTAGGCTTATTGGTAAATACTCATTGCTATAAGAAACAATTTTTTATGCCTACATGTATAGTTATGGTGCAGTAAGAAAGGATAAACATATTAAGATTTCAGTAAATCTGTTTTGGACAGTTACATATTGATCTTGTATGTTTTAAACAAATTACATTCTTGAATATTTCTATGTTATAGACTCCATATTATTCTTTTATGATATTATGTTAAGTTTATATTATACTTTTCTTTCATTTTCATGTGTTCATATATTCCAACTTGGGGACAGTTGTTAATGTTAATTTTATAAAAAATTTGATACAGTTCGAAAGTTGTGTTTCATGCTTGTCTTTTACTTAACTCATTTGGAACAGCCATCGTTGTGCGCATGTAAAGAGGCTTAGTGAGTTACCTTCAAAATTTAATTAAGCAACTTTCTAAATAAGGTATATAAATAAACATGGCACAAAAACATAACTAATAATCCAAATTTTAACATATAAATTTTTAAGTTGTTAATTTTATAAGGAAGTATTTTTTAAAAATCCTCAATTTGCCCTAGTGTGAGAATTGTGGCATTTGCTCTCCAAACATCCCCTCTTCTCTAATATACTTACCACCCCTCCAAGAAGTATGAAATTTAACGTAAATTACTCATTATAATGTTCTCATTGCTCAAGCAAAGTATAATTTTCCTTCAATCTTATTTAGTTACAGAGCCATCAAATAGAAAATCAGACCCCACTTGCCATGCCAACCTGTCACATCCTCTTTCAGAAATTGCCAGTAGTTCTCTCTTACACTTAATACTGTATTATTTATAAACAATAGAAAGCCAAGGTTCTAATCTATCAAATGATATATTATGTTATTTTCTGTACAGAGAATTGTCTATTTCATTTCCAATTCCAACTTTATACCCATGGGAAACACATCAACAAGCTTAGCTGCATTTTATTGGCTCTTGTTGTATAGTTAGAAAGCCCCAAAAATTGTGATAGTTATGGGACATTGTGTGCTTTTTGTATGCTATTATTCTGTATTCTTTCATGCATTAGTACCATAGTATAAAAAAAAAGTAGGGTTAAGTTTCAATGACAGTTGACAGCAAAAAAGAAAATTCAGGTATTTATTTCTTGTTTTTCAATTGTATTCTTTATTTATTATTGTTAAAGTAACTAAAATGTAAAAATCAGAAAATTTTTTTAGGTTAGATTAAGTAAAATAAATAATAATAATAAATTTTTACAAGGTAATCTTGTGAGTAGGTCGTGCATAATGTAATTCAATGACGTAACGTGAGCTGCTTGTTCACCAAGTGATTTACAACTCATAATGGGGTGAATAGTAGTTATACATGACTGGCAGAGTAGTAAAATTTAAGTATAAACAGATGTATACTGTTAAGAGTTTAAAGCTATTTGGAATAAATAAATGTGGTATGATACAATTTGAAGTCATTATAGAAAGAAAAAAAGGGTAATTTAAATTTATTTAAATTTTTTTTGGTGATTAAGAGGTTGGTCAAATTGACCAACCTCACATATGGAGTTATGGTTGAGAAAATAACAGATAAAGTAAAGTTTTACTGAAACATAGTGTTATAAAATTATTAGGAGTTTTAGAGATTATGTAAATGAAATTTGAAAACTGCATTGCACTCAG